GTGCTGTCCTGAAAGTAACTCTATGAATTAGAATGTATGCCAGTAGGAACACTTCCCTAACAGTCATTTTTAGGTATATCAGGATCACTTGATGCTTATGAATGGATATTTTAATAAGAAACCCCAGTAGAGTGGGCATGTAACCATGTGGGATACAAGTTCCAGAGGGAGAATTCTGTGCCACTCTGCTGTGCTCAGCTCAGGAAGAGCAGCTGCTCTTTTGTGATGCCTTAAAAAGTGGAATAAAATAGAAACAAAAAACAAAACTAATTTTACTCCAAGAATTGTTATGTGTGTGCGTATGTACATATGCACGCCAATATACATCTTCTAAGAAAAAAAATCTGATTATTCCTTTCAGTATGAGGATAAAGTATGAGAGGCCTTCAAAAGTTCATGGGGAATGCATATTGTGAAACAACTATTTTTGTTGCAAGAATTGTGTGTGTGTGTGTTTACGTGCATGTGTTTGTTTTGTGCATATGCAAGCAGATGCATGTATTTTTAAAAACACTTCGGTTTTCCTTGCAGCTTGCATGTGCCAGGTGAGGGTCAAGGAGTTCACCGGGCTCTTCTGTTATATCATCCTTATAAATATTTAACTCAAAGGACTTTAATGTTTAAGTGGAGTATGAGGTATTTTTTATAAAGCTAACTTACAAATATGAGGCCAGCAGTGTTAAAGTAAAACAATAACTAACTAAATTATTTTATGTTTACATTACACTTAATATTTATAAATATTTTATCTTAGGTTTTATGGTTAATATTAGCTTTAAAAGAAATATAAGTGTTTATGAGTATTTCATTGAGATGATTGACAAAAAAAGTACATCAACTTACATGTATTTGGGTAAATTTATACACTTGAGTAAAAATTATAACAATGAAAAGATAGAACATTTCCATCACCTCTTAAATTGTATTACTTTTCACATTGGGCAGTGCTCATCTGTCTTGGTTCTGACCAAATATTTTTCTGTTTTGCTTATGTCATAACCATGTATATAGGTAAATTTATACACTTGAGTAAAAATTATAACAATGAAAAGATAGAACATTTCCATCACCTCTTAAATTGTATTACTTTTCACATTGGGCAGTGCTCATCTGTCTTGGTTCTGACCAAATATTTTTCTGTTTTGCTTATGTCATAACATGTTAGATTTGTTTTTTCTAGAGTTTCACATACATGGAATTAAATAGAATATAATCTCGTTAGTGGCTTCTTGGTCTCAGCATGATAATACTGAGATTCACCCAGGTTGTTAGCATTAATAGTCCACTCATGGTTTTCTGTTCACCTACTGAACACTTAGCCTAGTTTCTTGTAGTTATTACAAATAACTACGGGGAGGTAGTTATTGAACACAGAGGTCTTCAACGATTGGCTGAGACCTTTCTGAATTATGGAGGTCAAACTGCTTTACTCAAACTCTATGAATTTAAATGTTAGCCTCATCTAAAAAAAATACTTTCACAAAAGCATCAGGAGTGGTGTTAGGCCAAATACCTGGGTATCATGGCTTAGCCAAATGGACATTAAATTGACCATCAGAAGCTACATCATGTTTTTTCAATAAAAATGACCGATAATAGTAATAGTCATTGATTAATTTACACTTTATTGCAATTTTAAAATTTAGGTCATCCAAGGGAAGTCCACAGAAGCTCTTGGTACTGTTTGTGCTGTTGACCACCAAGGAAGCAGAGCGAGGTGAAGAAGAACAGAAAGTGGATTCTCTCTTGTGTTCCTATGGCCTTTGTCCTTAACTTCCTTTAGGTTGACACACAACTGAGCTCCAACTAAATAAAGTATTTCTTTCTGCGTTTGGTAACAGAGTTTTCAAATTTTCACCCCAGAGTCGCACTTATATCCATTGTTGATTTTTTAACATCATCCTTCACTTTTTCTCATTTCTCCAGATTCTCAAAACTACTTTAGACTATGTGAACCCAGTTATGTGCTAAGTGTTCTAATTTTTAAAATCATTCTTCACTTTTTCTCATTTCTCCAAGCTCTCAAAACTACCTTAGCCTATGTGAACCCAGTTATGTGCTAAGTGTTCTAGATGTTACAGCAAAGAAGAGTTCTATAAAGAGAATAAAATACACATTGATAGGACACCAAATTCAAGACAGTGCATTTATTAGCTGGAAGAAAATAAACTACAAATTATGAGTTTCAAGATTGTAGACAAGAGGAACCAGCAGTTAGCGTAATGGCTATGACCCTGGATTCCCACGTGGTGGACCGCGGTTTGCGTCCAGGACCTGGTGGCTTAGAACTCATGCCGGGCGCGTGTGCGTGCGTGCCCAAGATCCCGAGAGGAGAATGGAGGAGAAGGGATTGCGGCGTGACCATCCTCCCTGGGGGGTGATTTCTCGCTTTCTGTCTCTATGTCTCTCTCTGTCTGTCTGGCGAGCGCATGCACCCTATAGAGAAAACCTCTCAAAAAAAAAAAAATTGTAGAGACGAGATCAACCAGATGTATGTTAGAATGGTGACTTGTCAAAAAAGGGCTTAGGAAAGATCTGGAACTTGTAAAAGATGTAATTAAATATTATAAATTAAATCCAGAAGAACAATAAAAGTTGTTTTTTTTTTTCTTTTCTTTTTTCTTTTTTTTCCAGAGAAAACCATAGCAAACAAGGAGCAAAGGTTTGTATTTCTTTTTTTCCAGTTGAGGTCAATAGTAAAAAGACACGTGTTATCCGTGACTATGGTTATAAGATTGAAGCTTAACTACATATTCATCCCATTGCATAGAGCATATTAGGACACATGAATTTGTGCTATTTCCAAAATTTCTCTTGGATTTTCTCCTGGTTTCTTCTTGATCTTTATAAGAAAATCAGCCAAGGCTCACATGTGTGACCCAACTGGCAATAAACGGACCTGTAGAAATAGAAACCACACAGCAGAGTGTTCAGATCTCCAGGTGGCTTGAAAACATGCTGAGTGAGTGCACGTGTGACCAAGATCTCATGCTCTGGAAAGCCAGGGAGAGGAACTATGATATGAAGAAACCATGTAAAGAGTACCTATATCTCCCTCTGTTTTTTTTTTCTCTTCTATATGTCATATGCATACATGGTTTATCATGAATAAAATAAAATAAATAAGCTTAAATGTTTATTTTTTAATTCCGTTATTTCTCCCAAGTCCAAACATAAAAAACACCCACAGTTGGTGGGATGCTGATAAATCAAATCTTAAAAAACAAAAAACAAAAAAACTTAAAAAAAACCTAATTTGTAATATTTGCCAATTTATGTGGTATGAATATTTTTTGTATTTTTTTTAGGAATTATTTTAAGGGACCAGCAGTTGGTGTGGTGGTTAAGGCACTGAACTCTTCCAGATGGCCAACCATGGTTTGAGTCCCTGACCTGGCAGCTTGCTTTCTCACTTTCTCTCTCTCTCTCCCTCTCACTCTATCCCTCTCAGGTCAAATTTAAATAAATAAATAAATAAATAAATAAACAAATAAATAAAGTTGCATAAATTAATTCTTTTTATTTTTTAAAGATTATTTATTTAATATAATTTATTGATTCGTTCATTTAAATTTGACCACACACACACACACACACACTCACACACACACACACACTCACACACATAGAACCACGGTTGTCTATGTGGGAGTCCAGAATCATTAACCACCATGCCATCTAACTGTGAGTGATTGTACGTTAATAATATGACACTACTGAATGCAGAGTTAGAAAGAAATACAAACACTGAGCTATCACAAGCTGGTGTGCTGGCTCCAACATGGCTTTGGTCTCAGTGTTTGTGGGATTCCTGGAAAGATTCTCTCATCTACCAATCAGACCTTAATCAGCTGTAATAAGTTGATGTGCCTCTTTTCGTCTTCGTTTTCATTTTCCTTTGAATTTTTTTCTAGCACATCATGTAATTGAGTAATTTTCTAAATGTCTCTTGAATCAATAATATTCTATAAGTTTCTTTTCAGGAACTCAAAATTTGGAGTCTAGTTCTGAATAAACTTTTGCTCATGAATTGAAAACCATGAACTATTCACTTTGGTTCTTTGGTTTAGGAGCCAAATATGTCCTTCATGACATTAGTGAAGCTTCTAAAATCTTATGGAAAATGATGCCAATATTCTAATTGTACATAAAAGATTATGGATATTATTGGATCCTTAAGCAACCATTGTGTAGACAAGCTTAAGATCCTTTGCTCCAAACCCTCTTGCATTCTACTTCATGACTTTTCTAATCCTCAAAAGTTTCTATTTTCTGTAATAAAATGACAGATGTGTGTGATCCTGAGCTTTTCTTTGAGCTGACCAATACTAAATAGTAACTTGTGATTTCATACTATGCACTCTATTTCTACCTTATGTATTGCACATCATCCATGAAGAAAACAAGCTAAAATACACTCTGTGAGAGCTACCACAACTTCTAAAGGTGTTGTACAGTCTCATGGAGAACTTGGTCTAACATTTGTTCTCATAACATTTCTCCCAGATGCTTTGGGTTAAGTATGTAATAGAGGGGTGAGCATGGCTCCGAGACACAAGCAGCCTGGATCCAAGTATCAGTTCTGCCCTATGTCATTTATGTGATCTTTGGTGGTCTAAATGTCTACAGACCTCAGTTTCTCTCTCTGCAAATTATAATTAAGAATATTATATATTTTAATTGGGCTGTTTTGGAGTGTCTTAAGAACAATTAGTATAATATCTAGTATTAAGCAAAGAGTAAATAAATGTTAGCTGCTATAAATATTTTCATTGTTTTAAATTACTATTATTTTTTGTTTTCTTATTACATGGTAAAATTTTTGGGGTAACTTTTTAGGTAATTCTTTATGACTAAAAAGAGAAAAAATATTTACTAAAAATCTGTTGAATAAATAAATATATGAAAAGACATATGTAATAGGTAGTCACCTACCAAAGTTGCTTTTCTATAGTGGAAGTCTCTTACATCAAGTTTTTCTCAATCTGTACAATCTCAGCTTACTTTGTAAGGATCAGATTGAGTACAGCCTTGCGAATCTGTTTTGTTTTCACACTGTAGATAATGGGGTTGAGCACAGGGGGCAGAAGTAGGTATACATTGGCCATCATTGAGTGGACCACTTTGGGGGCTGATCGGCCATAGCGATGCACCAAGGACAGGCTTATCATGGGGAGATAGAAAATAGCAACAGCTCCAATGTGGGAGACACAGGTGCTGAAGACCTTGTGCCGTTCCTCTGGGGAGGTAATACTTAGGACAGAGCGAATAATCAAGACATAAGACAGGATGATGCATGGAGTGTCTATCCCTGTGGTAAGGATGAGACCTATTAATCCATAGATGCTGTTGGCCCAAACATCTGAACATGCCAATTTGATCACGTCTACATGGTAACAGTAGGAGTGGGAAAGGACATTCATTCTACAGAAATAGAGAGGCTTAAGGAGCAAGAGTAATGGTACGATTAATACTACAGAACGTGTACATATTAGGAGACCCAACTGAATGATTCTGGAATTAGTGAGAATAGTTGTATACCTGAGAGGGTCACAGATTGCCACATAGCGGTCAAAAGCCATTGCCACCAGCACTCCACATTCCATGCATGTGAATCCATGAAGAAAAAACATCTGGATAATGCAGGCATCTAGACTAATTTCACTTGCATCAAACCAGAGAATACCTAATGTGGTAGACATTGTGGAAACAGTCAAGCCCAGGTCAGTGGCTGACAGCATGGAGAGGAAATAGTACATGGGCTCATGGAGACTTTGCTGGGTAACAATGACAAACAGGATCAGGCTGTTCCCGGAGATGGCGAGTCTTCACAATGGTCATTTCCTACAGAGGTAATAAAGTATACTGTCATACAAAGATATTTAGATAAATTTTCTTTTATTTAGGATAGTCATACCAGGTAATATGTAGGTTCTCTATTATTGAGAAAGGTCTATATTATGTTATCATGTTCATCTACTATTTATAATCAGTCATATTTATTACATATTTCAATATTTTTATCCTTAGACTGAAGGAAATGATATCCATATAATTTTGTATATTTTTCGTACTGATAGCATTTTAGGTTCCTTCAGTTTGTAAGATTCTGTAAATAATAACTGTAAGAAAAGTTAGTGCATCGAATTTTTAATAGGTTGTGTGTGATGTGAGCAATAGAAATCCACTTAAGATTATCTACGGGTCTGCAGTGGCTAAGTGCAAAGATCTCCAGTATTTTTCTGGTGATAGAGGTTTGAAAGTTATCATTGTTCATATGTCATTTTATTCCAGCAGCCTGTGTAAATAACCTTAGGGAATAGATTTATATATAAAAAAAAAAGCCAATGAAGAGAGAGCTCTGTAGAAGTTATTGGCTAGAACAAAATACACTAAATGAGGATGAGATTACTTTTTTGGTAACCACAAACATCAAGAGAACATGGTGTCATGACTGGGTGTTACATGAACAATAGTATCCAGTTGCATTAGCAGTGAAGTCTATTCAGAATTAAAAACTTCAAATGCACCTAAGAATGACCCTGGGAAAATCAGCTCAAGTCCTGTGATGAAAGCTGACAACCTACTGCACTCACCTGAGGAATAAAGGAAAAAGGAAGTAAGAGGTGAGGCATATTTTGTTTCTAGAAACTTGGCAGTGAAGGCAAGAAAAAAAAAAAAGTCCATGCCTAAAGAAGACTGATGGATGGGAGATTTTTGCAAGATGGGAAAAACTTAGAAAAATGGATAAATTTATAAACTGGATTTAAAGATACAGTAAATAGAGATTGAAAACATAAATCAAAAGAGGTTAATTGGTGTAGAAAAGTCCATAAAAAAGTAGTAGGTGATTGGATATAGAACATGATAGTAGTTAGCCTTAAAAAGGTGAGGACGAGGACCAGCAGTTAGCGTAATGGCTATGTCGCTGGACTCCCACGTAGTCGACCGCGGTTCGAGTCCTGGACCCGATGGCTTAAACTCACGCCGGACACGTGTGCATGCGTGCCCAAGATCCCGAGAAGAGAATGGAAGAGAAGGGACTGCGGCGTGGCCATCCCCCCTGGGGGGTAATTTCTCACTTTTTGTCTCTCTGTCTTTCTCTGTCTGTCTGGTGAGCGCAAGCACCCTATAGCAAAAATCTCTCAAAAAAAAAAAAAAAAAAGGTGAGGACGTCATTTTCACTGATGCTAGAAAGTAAGTGGCAAATGGACATGCAGTCAAGGGTTGCCAAGTGTCTACCTTTTTGCTCTATAATCTGATTGGGAAAATTTACTGCTGTTCAAGAAGAATGAAGTGATGAATGCTACCTTCAAGATAAGGCAGAGGTTTTTAGCAGACAGGAAGTGAAGCACTTGACTTACAGCACATACAAATGTTGTAACACCATGAAGTAACACGTTTACACTGTTAAAATAATCCTAGAGTTAAAGTAAAATAAAAGTTATTATTACAATGTTAGATTTTTTTCAAAGAAACTTTTAAAAATAACTAACGATAGAGTGTGAAGTTTAATTCATGAGAGTGAATGCTCTGTAATAACATGTTATCATTTTATGTTAGTTTCTCATATTTTCTTTTTAATCTCTAATTTCCTGGGTTTCATTTCAATCCGAGGAATACAATTAAAATATTTAACTCTATGGGACCTGTAGTTGGTGTAGTGAATGATGTGCTAGACTCCCACATGGCAGAATCGGGTTCAAGTTCTGAAACTGCCTTGCTTTCTCACTGTCTCTCTTTCTGTGTGTCTCTCTGGTCAAATTAAAATAAATGAAAAAGAAGTACAATTAAATAAATAATTCTATAAACTATAACTAAATTATTAGAGGTCAGGTATCTATGTGTTATATGGATCTCTGAGGACAGGATGAACTCTAATGTTATCAGACCTTTTGTGAGTCCATGTAAATATTAGTGAACAGGTAACTATCAGAGAACAAAGTCAATACAATGAACGGTGAAACCTTTCTCAGCCTTCTTACCAGCTTCATGTGCAAAGAGAAGCCTTCTCTATGTTTTCCAGCTGATAGAGAACAGGCTACAGTTTTGGAGCCAGGGACTTCATAGTCAGGTAAGACTGAGCTGTGGAGTCATCTGTAAGATTTGAAATCCTCTGGGGGCACGGACCGAGAAAATATGTGTATGCCTTTTTCTACCTGGAAATACAGAGCAGAACTGTGCAATCTCAGGTTTTTATCTACTAACTTGAGTGACCTGTCCATAGGGACATTAAATGCAAAGTAAAAGAAACCAGATCATACATTAAATGGGAGGTTTAGACATCGTTGTAGGCACTGGGGAATACGGAGATGCATGTCATTGTCTCTGAAATGTAAGTATGCAGACAAGACAGGAGAGCAAACCCGGTTCCCTGGCATACTGACAGTGACAGTGAAGAGAAAAAAAAAAGTGTTCACAGTTCTCCAGGTACTACCTTGCAGCTCCACATTGGCCCATAGTGGGAATAATGTGAGCAATCTCAAATTTACCTCTGTTCATTCACCTGATAGTATTTTTCCAAGTAGTGAGTCAGCTCTTGATATGTTAATTGGGCTCCTTTGTTCAAGTAGATGGGTGATGTGTTCTTATGTGCTTATATTCTTGCTCTGTTTACTTGTTACTTTCTATAGTAACAAGGTCAAGAGAAGACTCTTTTGGGAATTTGGCCACCTTTGCCAATGTGGGCAGTGGAGTAATAGGTGGATATTACTTTACAAACTAGTTATTATAGGTTTATACAAAAGGAGAAGGACAAACCTAGACATTGCATTTCTCCTTTCTAGAGAAGACTCCTGCTGGTGGGCTGATTCTTGTGTTTTCCTGGATACCAATTTAAAATAGTCATTTTTTCTTTTACTTCTATTTGGTTATTGTTTCTATACTTTCTTATTTGAGAAATCTTAATTGCAGAACTTGTGATATTTTTCCAGTGTCATAACTCTACCTCTCTCGTCAGTGTCTGGATTAATATTTCAATACCCAAAAGCAACAACAACCACCACCAAACAAACAAACAAACAAAAAACCTTGAGCAAATTGTGTTATAAATGATGAGTTGGTATGAAAGAATCAAAAGTTTCAGCATGGTTATCTTTACAGAGTGTAGAGTCTAGGCCCAGATCATGGCATAATCATAAGATAATGCTCTCCCAAGCTGACCCACCTGTGAAGGTTCCAGGGTCACATCTGAAGACCTTTCTACACACACTGGGCATGTATGTGTCTTGACCTGGGGTTGGCTGAGATTAGGGTAGATTGTAGTATGAGGATCCTGTTGGGGGTTATAACTCTCTTTTTTTTTTAATCACTGTTGCTTATGAAAGAAAGAAATGAATAAATTTAAACACTAGGGCTTCCACCAAAATCTTTTGATGTTCAGACTACAGAATAATAAAAAATACTTCAGTTACTTGGCCTCCTTGGACTCAAGCTCTTGAGCCGTCCTTTCCTTTTGAGTGAGGTTAGAACCTTTGACTAACTTCTAACCAAAGAATATGGGAAAGCTGACAGGTTATTTCCCATATGGGATCTGGCTTTGATGAGGTAAACCACCATGTTAGGCAACCCCATAAGCCAAAGAATGAGGATGGTCTCCAACAACCAGCCTTGAACATAATGTGACCTTCTCCACCCAAGAAACTGACTCCCTCAATTGAAAAATCCTCAAGGGAATAACTGAATCCTGCCAATAACTATGTACACTTGGAAGGATATCTTTCTTCAGATGAGCCTCAAATGAGACTCCAACCTTCTGTGGAGGACTCAGTTAAACTATACTCAGACTCCTGACTTACAGAAACCAAGACATTAAAAATTAGTATTGTTTTAAACCATTTCTTAAAGGCTAAATAAATCTGTTTTGTTTGTTCTTTACTGCTCTACCAACTCTGATTACTAATGAGTATAGAAAAACGAATCTGTAAAGGCTCCTTAAAAAGTTCATGCAAATGCGTATAATGAAAGAAGTATGCAGAAAGTTGAAAAAAATTTGTGCCAAAAGAAATTCATGCTTTGATTTAATTTTTCCATGAATTTTTGGTGGCCCATTTTACTAAGTAACATTTACTTCTGATCCCACTGATATGTCATGACTATTTACTGAGATTTTGAAGCTATTGAAGAAAATGATTGCACTTTTAACATGATGGGAACTAGCTAAAATACCTATGACACACCTAGATAGATCAGGATCACATAATGAGTTGTTGAAGTGTAAATTAAACTTTAATAGAAAGGTAGTAACTTATGTGTCAGCAGGTGGTCTGGTGGTTAAGGTGTTGGACTCTCACATGGCCAACCACAGTCTTAATCCTGGACTTGATGGCTTACAAATCATGCTGGGTGCATGTGCATGCATGCCCCAAATCCCAGGAGGAGAATGAAGAAGAAGGGATTGAGGTATGGTCATCCCCGCCCCAGGTGTTACTTATCACTTTCCCTATCACTGTCTCTCTCTGTCTCTCTTCAGCAAGTGCACATGTTTGATGGCAAAACAAACACACGAAAAGAAATAAAAAGGCAATAACTTCTATTCAGCAAATCATGCATCTCATTAGTGTACTGCTCGATGATTTATTACATGGAACTGCAACCTCTATAGAACAGAGATCAGCACACTTTTTGTTTGTTTGTTTTGGTAAGGACTCAGACAGTAAATATTTCAGGCTATACAGTTCTCTGTCTTAACTACTTGACTTTTATGTTGTAGCATGAAAATGACCACAGACAATAGTAAATGAATATGGCTATTTTTTCAATTAAACTTCACTCACTAAAATGGACCTGTGGTTAGGCTGTAGCTTTCCAATCCTGACATATGAAATCACTAATATCCTTTTCTACCCTATTCTAGTAACTATCTCCTCCTTCTGTGCCCAGAGTAACTACTATCCTGACTTTCAATACCTTCTATTATTATTATTATTATTATTATTTGGTATAGGGCACGTGTGCTCGCCACACAGACAGAGAGAGACAGAGAGACAGAAAGCGAGAAATCCCCCCCCCCAGGGGGAATGGCCACGCCGCAATTCCTTCTCCTCCATTCTCCTCTTGGGATCTTGGGCATGCACGCACATGTGCCCGGCGTGAGTTTTAAGCCACCGGGTCCTGGATGCAAACTGCAGTCGACTACATGGGAGTCCAGTGACATAGCCATTACACTAACTGCTAGTCCCCCTACCTTCTATTATTTTTGCACCTATAATAAAATATAAGTGTATAAATTGAAAGATAAAGTACATTTGTGTAACATTTGCACAAAAAAAATTGCACCAAATAAATTCATGCTTAATTTTTTATGAACTTTTTGATGTCCCATTTTACAAAGTAACAATCACATTATGTGCTCTCATTAAAGACATGCAAGGCCTCATGTAGGCAGATGATCTACCCCTGGAGAGAGTGATGGTCTGTCTTCAGAGTTTCCTTCCTTCCTTCAGGGAGAGGGTCCTCTAAGTAGGACTCCCCAAATCTCACAGGTGTGTGACAGTGATTACGGGCCCAGGGCCCATTCCATTGTAATAGTTTTATTAGGCCAGCTCCTGTGGAGTTACAAGGGAAGTGAAAGCGCCAGTCTATATGCATTTGTTCAACCCATTATTGTACTTGATGTCCAGTGAAATGTGTTCCTTGATTACTTTCAGTGACTTCTGGCATTCCATAAACTCAAACAGCTGCAGCAGTCCCCATAGGGTAGTGCCCTGAGTGGGCTCCTAACTTGGGAATGCTTGTAGAATGCTGTGGTGGTGTCTACAAAAGTCAAAGCAAAACGAGTCCTTTCTGAAAGGGGTGCGGGGTTGATATCGCCCTGTTATCAAGTCGGTGTTCCCTGCCCCTTTTGATGTGTCCCTGTTCTGTTAATAACCAGCAAGGCTAGCACTCTGAATACACTGGGCATCATGGCAAGCTGTTACAATGTCAGAGTATTTCAGGAGGATTCCCCAGGCTTTCGTTACTTCTCATAAAGTCTTTAGGCCATTGACCACTCCACCTTTCATCATTCTCCATCCAAATGGCATCTGTAGATGGCTAGTACGCTGCAGCTCTTTTTTTGTTTGTTAGTTTTTGTTTTATTTTATTCCAAGTTCTTTTATGCATTTAATCACATTATTTAGCTTGCAAAGTGAATATTCCAACATGTGTAAATTTCTCCTCAGTACAGTTGATAATACTATAAAGTTATTTTAAACAGATAATACCAAATTTATTTGTCCCATTAATGCTTTGCCTCTCTGTTTTTCTCCTTAATATCCTTTCTCAGACTCTACACCTTCACCCATCCTCTTCCCACACTATATCTAGTATTCATAACCATTTATTGTGTTTCTATATCCTTTAGTCATTCAGTTTCGGTCATAGAGTGTGGATACTCCGGATATATTAAGTGGAGACATATAATATCTCTCCTTCATAGTCTGGCTTGCTTCACTCAACAGTAAATTTTCCATATTCATCCACTTTCTGTCAAAAGCCAGAGTCTTGTTTTTTATGGCTGAGTAGTATCCATAGAGTATGCATGCCACAGTTTTTAATCCATTCATCTGTTCGTGGTCATTTGGGTTGGTTCCACGTCTTAGTAATTGTGAATAATGCTGCAATAAACATTAATGTGCAAGCACTTTTCTGATTAAGGATTTTTCTGTCCTTTGGGTAGATATCAAGGAGTGTTGTTGCTGGATCATACGGTAGTTCTACTTGTACACCTTTGAGGAATCTCTAAATTGTTCTCCACAGTGGCTGGACCAATTTACATGCCCACCAGCAGCATAGGAGAGCTCCCCTTTCACCACACCCCTGCCAGCACTTATCATCTTTTTTTCTTTTTTAATCTGTGTCATTCTGTCTGTGGTTAGGTGGTATCTCATTGTTGTTTTGATCTGCATTTCCCTTACAATGAGAGATGTTGAGTATTTTTTCTTATGCCTTTTGACTATTCCTATGTCATCCTCAGAGAGTGGTTTTTCAACTCATTTTCCCATCTTTTATTATTATTTTTATTTTTTATTATTCACACATTAAATCGCTATACATCATTTAGATTGTGAAGAGACTTTACCCAGCACGATTTACACCTCAGTCCAGCCCAGTTGGTGGAATTGATAATCTATTTTCTAGAGAGCTGCTTGAGTTCCTCATGTATTCTGGTTATCAGTCCCTTATCTGACACATAGTTTACAAAACTATTTTCCCACTATGAGGGCTGTCTATTCACACTAATTACTGTGCTTTTGGCCATGTAAAAACTTCTTAATATGATGTAATCCCACTTGTCTATTTTGGGAATTATTGACTGCGTTGGGGGTCTTATTTAAGAAGTCTTTGCCTACCCCAATGTCTCCCAGAGTTTCCCCAGTGTTTTCCTGGAGCAGTTTTATAGTTTGAGGTCTTAGCTTTAGATCTTTGATCCATCTTGAGTTGATGTTTGTCAATTGTGAGAAATAGCGTAGGTAGGTAGTTCAGATTCATCTTTCTGCAGGTGGAAATCCAGTTTTTTCCAGCACCATTTGCTGAATGGGGAGGTTGCCCTGGCAGAAGTCATTCCTGTATCAAGCATCATCTGGCACTGGAGGCATTTACTCTTTTATTTTTTTAGTGAGATTTTTGCTATAGGGCTTGTGCTCTTGCTGAAGAGATAGAAAGAGAGAGAGAGAGAGACAGAATGCAGGAAATGACCCCTCCACCTCATCGAGGGGATAGCCATGCCATAATCTCTCTTTCTCAGTTCTCCTCTTGGAATCTTGGGCATGCACTCATGCACATGCACCTGACTTATGTTTGAAGTCACTGGGTCTAGGACTTGAACCGTGGTCCGCTAGCAAGGACACTATCCTAAGTCATTCCTGAAAGCACAGAAGATTCCATGTTTCTGAATCTATGCAGAAAGAACATCTGTACAATGCAGGCATGTAAGCTGATGATCTTGGCATTGAACAAGAGCACATCTAGTGTAGTGGGGAGGGATGACATAATGATGCCCAAGTCAGTGGCTGAGAGCATGGAGTGGAGATAGTATATGGGCTCGTGGAAGTTGGAGTCTGTCTTCACCACAGAGAGGACAGTGCTGTTCCCTGAGAAGACAACCACACAGAGGTAGCAAAATGGAATGGAGAACCATGTGTAGAAATTTGCCAGTCCTGGAATCCTAGTCAAGAAGAAAATTGGGGGAGTGGAGTTATCAATGGGTTGCATAGTGTTCTTCATGAAATGTCACTTTCCTTCAGCAACTTCCTGCAATGATACTTTACATTGCCAAAAACTCTGTCAGGTGTTCTGAAAGTGCTTTAATTACTATACATCATGTTGTAGTCTGTACTTTATAGGCAGTTGTTATCTGTTGGTGTCATTTTTATGGTAAGTTGAATCTTAGCTAGGTTAAGTAAATTTAGCAAAGACAAGGCAGGTCTTGCAGACTCAAAGCTTTCTTGTGTGTGTGTGTTTTTTTTAAAACTCTATTATGTTTATCACATTCTGTGAACATATGGATTGATACTAGAGTAAGACAGTGTGGCAGTATGGTATTTGTCTTGGGTAATTACTTTAAGGTGGGGACTGAAAAGTAAGCAGACAAATCATATTTTAATATTTAGAAAAATCAAAATTAATTACTTCTTAAGCAGAAAACTGTTTAAAATTATCAGTGACAAGCAGGTTTTTGGAGAATGAAGAAGTGGGTGGTAGGTGAGAGGCTGGTTCCAACAGATTGCTATTAACCCAGTATAAAAGGCTTGATTCTGCCAGTAGAATTATTTGAATTTCTCCACTGAGTGCCTCACTCAAAGTGCCAAGTTGATAGTTTAAGCAAATGACTCTGGACATGTTTGAGTACAGTTGCATATTTGATATCATGGATGTACATTTTAGATAACCGTAGGACATAGGAGTAGGGTGTACAGCATTTGTTCTCAATTGCATTAAATAAGAAGAAATAGTCAAGACCAGCAGGTGGCATGGTGGTTAAGATGCTGGACTTCCACTTGGCTGACCATGGTACAAGCCTTGTACCTGGTGGCTTGCTTTCTCTCTCTCTCTCTGGTAAGCATGTGTGCTCTATAGCAAATTAAAAAGAATCATAATTATAAATAAAATTATATAGGAAATTCTTTTGAAAAAAAGGGAGGTAAAGTATGGATTTATCTACTTACTTTTCAGTCCCCACTTTAAAGTAATTACCCAATTACCCTGACATTTGAAAAATTCTTGACATCGTGCGGTTTTTGAGGACAAGATCTCTCTTCATGTAGTATGTAAACCCATCATAACACTTAATGCCCGATGCAATGGCTTTATAAATATCTCTTCTATGGTAAGCAGAATGTTTATATTAAAAAAAAAAACAATGAATGTACAGAGTAAAAAAAACAAATGTTTATTAGAGTCTGACTTGTCACAGTATCACGCTGTATTTGTCTCTGTGCAGAGGAGGCCATTCTGAGAAAGCATTCCCTGTGGGAAAGTACTCTAGATCTGAGCCCTGATCAATTTGCTTCCAAATCACATTTGAAAAACTGAAGTTGACTTACCAAGGACTACCTTTGCTAAGGTCCTGTCTTCTCTTAATGGAAATAAGTATAGATTTGTGTTACTCGAGAGAAGAGTGGCAATGCAAAGACTCTGTCCATCTTACAGATAGAAAATCAAATATGCCACTCTAAGTGTTCATGTGATATTAACACTTTCTGCAAATGACTGTTGTTATGCTTGAGTACAGTCACATGTTTGATATCATAGACAGAAGGATTTTTCAAGTCGTAACAAAGAGAGTCATACCTTCTAACTAATTCAGAACATTTAAGGTTGCTTGTAATTATAATTGGGATGCAAGGGTTGAATTTATTTCTATATTGGGACTGGAATGGTAGGTTTTAGTGTTTTGATTTTTGATGGAAATTACACAAATTAGATGATCTATCTGTCATTTTCTCCTGTTAGGTGGTCTATCCTTATACTCTAGCAGAATAGTTGTTTCAGTGTAGTTGCTGAATATATAAGGCATGACTAGAAATTCAAAATGTCCCAAATATTTTAATGTTTATATAAAGAAGTAAGTGAGGGACAATTTTCTATTTATATAATATACTTATTTTATTTGACAATATCCTTAAATATTTTATTTTGATGGGGATCATGAAAGTCCTTAGGACTAAGAGGACTGGCATATAGTTTCTGAGGAATGAAGCAAAAATGGACAAGGTGTAAATAGCATCTTTTGGTCAGTGACAGAATTAGTGGAGCCTTGGTATCCAATGGTAAAAATTCAAATTCTTTCTTTCATTTATGTTATTTTGTGAGTGTGTATCTGTGTGTGTGTGTGATTGGGCTGGGATACACATCTGAACAACTACAGCTATAGTCAAAGTGACAGGGCAGATGATAAATAATTAAAATAATCAGCAATTGTTGTATATGTTAGGGAGGAAGCAAAATAATTTTATTATAGAAAAAAATTGTAGCACTCAGAATCTAGTTGACATAGGTGTATGAAGAAACATCTAAAAAGGTGGGACTTGTTGAGACTTAAAGGATGATGAGACAGAGGCAGAATGTCCCACCAAAGAACAACTGGGGAGGTAGAAAGAGTAAGAACAAAGCTTTGAGACAGAAAAGAGGTTGATGTGTTTGGAAGGGAAAGGAGACTAGAAGGGGCGAAGAAGAGAGGTATCAATACATCAGTAGAGGTATGTTGGAAAACAGAATGAAATGCTCAGTCAAAACAAGAAATGTATTGCTAGTATATAATATCATGGGTGAACTCTTTTTTCCTTTTTTTTCTTTTTTAAAAAAATTATCATAGGATATGTGTGCTCACTAGAGAGAAAGCTATAAAGGAATAATAGAATAAAGC